GGGCACTTTCCTCTCTTGTTTTTTCATGTTGTTTTTGTGTCTTCCTTTCCTGCAGAGTGGATCCTGAACCTGGGTCCTGGTCAAGTCGGTGAGGGCAGTTCTGCTCTGGGCCTGAGCTCCTGCCGTAGTCTGCTGGTGGGGAGGGGCGGTCCCGAGCTGGAGGCTGGGCTCTGGCGGGTGTCTGGCAGGATGGACTGGGGCCTACAGTCCTAAACTTCTTTCCTATGTTTGTAACTCTGACATCCTGCTATCAAAACTACATTTGCTTGTTTTCCCGTATGTAACCAGGCTGCCTCCACCCACATGGGTCGGCTGCTTACCTGGTTTCAGCTGGGCCTGGGTCGGCAGAGTTGCGGCCATCTCAACTACTGTGTTCCACATGTCCCCTTGGCGTGGACTTCTATCTGACTTGGCCCCACCTGACCACCATCGCACTGGATTTTTCAGAAAGAAGGAAGAGAAGAAGGAAGAGAGGGAGGGAAGTGAATTCTGATTACTCTGAATGATGGTCACCATGTCAATAGGAAAGGGAGTGATGATTGTTATTGTATTCTTTTTTATTGACACTTCAATTTTTTTCTTAAATGAATATGTATTCACATGAACTAGAAAAAGGTAGTTAATTTGAAATATGGACTAACATGCAGCTTAAAAGAAAAACCTGTGACATTGATGGTGAGAAGAGTGACATCCCAAATTCAGTTCTGATAACTAAAAGAATGCCCAGAGCTCACCTAGTGAATGATTTTATATCACTAAATAAAATGTTCAGAAACAGACACAGAAGGCTCAGCAAAGATAGGAAATGCACTGGAATTGGTGATTCTGCTTGTGATTTCACACTGGGAAAGTACAGTTGACTCATTATCAACAACGTATCCACATAATTCAAAAAGTCTAGAGGCTAAGGAGAAATGTGCCCTCCTTCTCCCAGTCCATGGCTGAAAGGCTTTTGGCAAAGTTGAAAATGTAATTATTTCCAAAGCCTGCAGGAGATTGTGAATAGAAAATACTTTCCTTATGTAATCATTAGTATCCATTTAAAACCCAGAGCCTGCATCAGTGAGGATGAGTGTAGTAGTTTATCTATGGAGTCAGCAACTCAGCTGCATGTTGGCTGCACAGAGAACAACCAGCCTTGTTCTGAAAAGTTTAAACCTCACTACAAAGTATAAAATAAACTGGATCAGTATTATTTGTACACCATGGTTTATTTATCAGGAAAACCTTAGCAGTACGTTAATTCGATATAGCAACCACATACAAAATACATGCCTAAAATCTAATACTCTTGTTATATTATAAGATATGAAAAAATACCTTATAGCAACAAAATCTGTAATAACTCAGAAATGGTAAGCTGTAGGCAAACTGGAATGAAATTCTACAATGATGATGACTTTCATGTCAAGTCAGAGTGAGGAATTTCGAGAGAGTCATAAACCTGCTGCTGATCCTGCTCCAGGCCAGAGCTGTGTAGCCCAGCTGGTCCAGGGCCCTAGGCTTCCTGCCCGGTTCCCACATCCTTATGTGGTAGAGAAGCTCATAGCTATATTTTTAAAGTTAGGGGTGCTGTCATGCTTTTACCTGGTAAATTCATCTCGTGCTGTTCAGCTTGATGGGTTTGATAGTCACAATGAAATGACCATCCAGAAGTGGAACACGTCCACCCTCTCCAGCAAGTTCCCCTGGGGCGCTTGGAGTCTGCTCCTTTCCTCCTTCCCAGCCTCTGGCAGCCTCTGCCTGGCTCCCGCCCAGGAGGATGGGGGTGGGGTGAGGGTGGGGGTGATGCCCTTTTCAGAACAGCATTTAGCTGGGCTGTCCAGCTCTATCGTTGATCAAATGCCTTTGAGATCTGTCCGAGTCCTCTGCTGCAGACGGGTCCTGCAGTGCGAGATGCCACAATGTGTTTACCCATCCCCCATCCAGGAGCCTTGGGTGGTTCCAGGGGTTGACACTTGGGAACGAGGAGGCTGTCATAGCATCTGTGAACAGGTGTCTCGAGGACACAGTTCTCATTTCTCTTGGCCCTATTCAAACAGTGAGGCTGCTGGTCATGGGACAAGTCTGTGCTTAACTTTGTTTAAAATGACATCTGGGCTCCTTGCTCTTGGCTCACCTTCTTTTCTTCCCTTGATTATCTCTTCTTAATGACTTCAGTGATCTTTTATGCTCTCACATTGATCTCCTGATTTTGAGTAAACAAGTCTCTTTACATAGTCGCTCATCAGGACGATTTCTACAACGCAAATCCTGGGTGCTGGGGATATTTAGTTGATCCGCGAAGGGAAGATTCATCTATATTTCAACATGCTTCATGTGTCACTCAGACCATCAATCAAGGCTGAGGACTCTTATCTGACGTACACCATTTAAACTTGTAGGGTGCATAGGAGAAGCAGGAAAATGGGTGCAACATAACCAAGCCCAGAGCGGGTGGGTGAAGTGTGTGCACACCGTGCCTGTCACCTTCAGAAGAGAGCAGAGGGTCTGTGCTACAGGAGGGCCACATGCTCAGGGACAGATGTCCAGCTATGTGACTGAATGTCATGATAGCCACAGGAAGAACCCAAACCAGAGACTCCTGCAAAATCTGTGGGGGAAGGGGGGGGTGGAGGAGGAGATGCCTACCCTTCATTTAACAACCTCCTGCACTGTACGCAGTGTTTACACCATGTTCATAGTTACTTTTACAGCTATCCTTCTTAACCAGATCAATTGCTGGTGTGCATCGTGTGTGGAGGGCATACTGGTAGGGATGGGTGGCGTGATGTTGGTAGGAAGACACTCCCACCACAGCGTTGGGAAAGGCTGGAACCCGGGGTGCAGGCAGAGAGGCCTGAGTGAGAGAGGACGGGAGTCTCTTTGGAGTGCAGGGAGTGGGAGGCCCGTGGGAAAGATGCTGACGGCCTGCCCGCTGGGGAGGGGAGCTCTTGACCCTTCCTCCTCCGAGGGGACCATGGATTGGTGATTTGGGGACAGGAGGCTGGCATGGGTGACAGGGTAACTGTCCTGGAGCCAGAGAGTGAGAAGTAGCAATAAGGATGGCTGAATTCTGGGATGGCCCAGTCCCAGCCTCAGCACCTCAGAAGCTGATGCCAAAGACAGTGAGACAATGAGCTCTGAGGACCCCCACCCCGTCACTGTGCTCCAAGACCTCCGTACCCGGGAGCCCTGGCGCCCTGAGGTGGAGGCAAGCGAGGAGCTGGTGTCTTCTACAGTCACGATTGCACAGATTCAGATGTGAGGTCTGAAGAGCTGGCCCCCTTGGTCCTCTGAAGATCTCCCCTTCCTCAGGATCCTGGAAGCAGGGGTGCTGTCACAGGGATGCCACCAACCATCCCCAGAGTGCTGGCACCTGCCATCTGCCCTTGTTCATGGTGACACTGCGGCCTGCTGTGGAGGCAGGCGTTTGGTCACGGCACAGCCCCTGGAGCGAGTGGGCGCTGAGGTTCTCACCTCTGGCCTCTCCTGCCTGCCCTGCTGAGCCTGATCTCTCGCCTGGTTCAAGGAGCAGGCACTGAGGGAGTCACACCCACCTCCACACAACCCAGCTCTGCTGGGAACAGGTGAATGTCGCTGGTTCTACCTCCAGAGGTTAACATTTCCCCTAAACCACTTCCCCTTGCGTTACCTATGTTCTGGAAACCCGTGGAAAATAGAATACTTGGAAGTTTCCAGAAAAACAGTGAAAATGGCATACTTATCCAGATTTTTTAGAACATCAGCAAAGGGGTGTCGTCTCCACACAGTGAAGGACACGGGCATGCAGCTCCCATTTGCCAGATATATGAGACAAGGTGAGATGATCTTTATGCATCAAAAATTTAAACCCCATCAGCTTTTCTAGATTTGCTTTTGAAAACTGGCAAACCTTAGAAATACGTATGTCCATCTCTCTCTCTGATCTTAAGAATTTTTGTTTTTTCATTATAATGCGGAGTGCTTTTGGTCTCACTCTATCACTCCCGTTGGAAAGACCAGGAGCTCATTAGCCACTCGGTGAGTGACAGCCAGGTGGGCTGCACACGTTACTAAACTGACGGCAGTAACTAAAGTTAGCGGAAGACTTGCGTCTCTCTTGAATGTGTGTAGTTAGCCACGTGATTTCTGCTGTTTCTTCTTAAGTTCCAGATGCATGTCATTTTTCTGTGCTGGCACGTACACTAAATAACGAGGGTGGACCTGCTGGCCACGTGTGGCCTCCCTGTGCAGAAGCATGGTGACGAGGGAGGCCGCACTTGCTGTGGCTCCAGGCAGTTTCCCTCAGCCCCAGCAGCCCTCCACGTGCCCTCTCCCACCTGAAGCAGCAGATTTAGGGTGCACCTGGAATGTGATGCGGATCTGGCCCTCGCAGAGCAGTCCCTGAGCCAAGGGAGAGTCAGGTGGCATGTGGCCATTGTCCTCCAGTCAGACACTTGGCTCTAATGGGCACAGGGTGGCGGCTGAGTGAACGGTGGCCATGTTGGACCCACAGGGTGCACACACCCCACAGTGGGGATGCTGGTGAGGGGAGAGACGGGTTGGTCAGATCCACCCCCTTCCCCACCAGGTGCCCAGGCTGCTCCAGACTGTGTGCAGGCTGCTTCCTGATGCTCAGAACAGGGCCCTCCTGGTTCTCTTCTGGCTAACTGCCTTCTCTGCACCCCTGTTCCCTCTGTAACAAGGTCCATTCCCAACAATATGCCCGATCCCACCTGGGGGTCGTCTTGCCTAGTGCTTCTGCATCCCAGAGTCAGCCGGAGCCCACTCCCGGGCGCTGGGGCTCTCATGGCCTCCCTGCACCTTCTTGCCGTCCTGCAGTGACAGCCCCAGGGCCAGAGGTCGTGCCTCAGGCTCCCTCAGAAGACTCAGTCCCACAGGGCAAGCAGCCGTGCAAGTCCACGGCCACGCAGGGTGTGGGGTGCTCTCCCTGTCCTCTCCTCTCTCTCTCTAGAAACTTTCAGGTGTTTTTAGACTTTTGAGATCTCCCACTATCCATTTGTTTGTTTTCTAGGTGGTGTTTAGGGGGAGAGGAGCGCCCAGGGTTCGTGGCCACGGGGTCACGGTACCCGCTCTGTGGGGCTCAGCCTCAGCCTGTCGTGGGGACTCCCTGTTAGCCCCTGCCGGCTCCTGACCACAGCGTGGGGACAGAATGTGCTGTGTGCTCACCTGGACCCGAGGACAGCTGCTCGGAGCTGAGGAAGCTGGGTGAGAAAGTCCCTCCTTTTGAAGTTTTCCGGGAAAACAGCTTCAGACGTCTGGGAGACAGTTGTAGGGTGACAGTGAGCCCGCGGGCACTCCCCGCAGGGTCTCTGTGCCTCAGGGTGTCGAGCAGTGGGGCCAGCAGCCCTGACATGGCCTCCGTCCAGCCCTGTGTGGGCAGTCGCTGCTGCCTGTGGCCGTGGTCTGTGTTTTCTTGTTGCGCTACGTACACGGTTGCTGACTTCATGGCATAACAGGTCTCCCCTGGCTCTGCTGGGCTGCCTTGCACTTCCTGAGGAGCCTTTTTCTCTGACAACCAGTGTCATTTGATCCCACTGTGGCCTGGCTTTGGGCTCTTAATCCCCCTTGTTTACAGAGAGTTTAATCTCTGTCATATTTAGGCTTTAGCCAGACAGATCCCACCCTCCCTGGGCCTAGCCGCCTGACCACATCAGTTAGGCCTAGTGACAGGGGTTTTAAATGTGTCTGTCTCTTGAAAGAACAGTCCCCAAAGCCTTAAACCTACTCCCATAAATAGTCTTTGAAAGGCATTTAAAGGCGAACCTGATAAACAGGATCAGAGGGTAGAGTGACTGGGGACCACCCTGGTACAGGATAAGCTGGGTTTTGAAGTGGAAAATCAGTCCATTTCTCTACTCGGTGTGTCCTGTGAAAGACTCAGACCAGCTTTGCAACAGTTTTGCACCCACAAAGCCAGAGAAATTTGATCCCTGTGTTCACAGGTCAGTATTCAGACTCCTGCTCTTGAGTGCTCTGTCCCACTATGGGAGTGTCCAGGGGAAATGTGACTAAGGGCACCTGTAGGGAGCTGGGCCATCAGAGCTGTTCAGTCCCTGAATGCCACCGAGAAGGCCTGGCATGGTTCGGGCAGAAGCTCCCTGTCCATCTTGAGGCTGAATCATGGCAGCCGAGCTCCTCTTTCCCTGAAATAGATGGTTGGGTCATGGAATGAAGAAACATGACCCAGTTAAAGCGACACTGGGAAGTCCAGCAGAGAAGAGCAGAGGACCAGAGACCACAAACTCAGCAGCTGGAGAGACTGGTGACACCTTTTTAGAGTGCTGAAAGCAAAACTGGTTTACATTAGTTGTTTAGCTTTAGCTCAATCCAGCAAGAATTTTTTAAATTGTAGTAAAATAAACCCAGCATAAAATTTAGTGTTTTAGTAATTTTAAAATGTATGACTTTGTGGCCTTAAGTACATACAATTCACCACCATCTATCTCAGGAACTTTGTCATCTCCCCAAACTGAAACAGCACCCATTACCCACCAACTCCCACTGCCCTCCCAGCCCTGGCACCCACCCCACCTCTTCATGTCTTTATGAGGGGCCTCACATAACAACAACCACACAATATTGGTCCATTTGTTAACACGTATCTTCAGGTGTCACCCTATCGTAGCCTGGGTCAAAATGCCCTTCATTTTTGAGGCTGAGTAATGCTTCACTGTGTGGAGGGCCACATTCTGCTTACCCAGTCCTCTGCTGACCGCACCTGGACTGCTTCTATGTGCTGCAGCTGGTGTGAGAGAAGGTGCTTTTAACATGGGTGGGTAAACATCTCTTTAAGCTCCAGCGTCCCCTTTCTTGCTACTACACCCTAGAACTCGGATCACCCAGTGATCTCCCTTGGGTGTCCTGAGGTGGGTCCGTGCCATTTCCCACAGCAGCTGCAACACTGCATTCCGGCCAGTAAGTGAATGGTTTTCCAATTGACCTCATCCCCCAATGTGTGTTTACTACTTCCTGTTTTTATTTTAAACAACAGCCACCAAAATCGGGTGTGAAATGGCATCTCATTATAGATTTTGTCCCTAAAGGTTAGTTACATTGACTCTTTCATGTGCTTTTGGCCATTTATGTCTTCTTCTTGCAAAGACTGTCCTTTGTCCATTTGTGTGTGTGTGTGTGGTGTGTGTGTGCATGTGTGTGTGTGTGTGGTGTGTGTGTGTGGTGTGAGTGTGCGTGTGTGTGTGGTGTGTGTGTGCGTGTGTGTGTGGTGTGTGTGTGCATGTGTGTGTGGTGTGTGCATGTGTGGTGTGTGTGTGGTGTGTGTATGTGTGCATGTATGATGTGTGTGTGTGGTGTGTGTGTGTGTGTGTGTGTGCTATTTTTATGGTTCTGGGGTGGAACCTGGGGCCTCATGGATGCTAGACAAGTGCTCTACCATTGAGTCACATGCTCAGCCCTTGTCCATTTTTAAATTGGGTTTTCCTCCATTGATGTTGGGTTTTAGGGATTCTCTTTATATTCTGGCTCTAATCACTTATCAGATCTCTTGTTTGCAAATGTTTTCTTCTATCCACTGGTTGCCTTTCCACCCAATTAATAGTGTCCCTGAGGCACAAAAGTTTTCAGTCTGGGCATCCCCCCAGGCTCTCGATGACTGGAGCCCCCCTTGCTAGTCGTGTGTACATCACAAGAAAGCTCTGGGTGGGGTGTAATGGGATCTGCTGCCGCACCAGGGAGGTGGGGAACAAGGGCTTCAGTGTGAGGCACCGTAGGGAGCCTGGTTGGCAAATCCTGGACTTGTATCACCATCTGTCTGTGCGCTGCCTCCCTCCCAGGCTGCGGGCAGTGATGCCCTTGCCATGTTGGGAGCCCCGCCTGCCCCTTGGTGCCCCCTCTGCTCTGTGCGGTGAGAAGCTGCTGGAGCACAGGGCGCAGGACTGAGCGTGGCATGGAAATCTGCAGGCCTGTGAGTCTGCAGCCTTGACCCTGGGCCTGCCTTAGCTGTTGACCCCAGGGTCGCAGCTGTGGTGCCCTCTTATGGTATCTGGCGCTATTCGATACCCATATGGAAACCTGAGGCCTGAAGGTCCAGGGTTAGACGTGAAGGAATTTCTGTGGGGAGCCTGAAACCTTGCACTAAGTAATGCCACCAGATGACCCCTGGCCTTCCTGCCTTCTTTCACCCGGGACCCCAGCTCTTGGCTTTGTCCTGGGGGAAGGGGCGTCCCAGCTGACCTTGGCCTAGGCTGGCCTGTTGTGCCCACGAGAAGCTGGGCTGTAGAGTCAGATCTGCCACCCTGAGGTCCACCCCATGGCCAGCCGGGTGCCAAGCCCAACTCTGAGATGTGGTGGGTCCACTCTCTCCTGCTTTCTGGATGTGCCTCCTGCTCTGAGCTGATCCTGGGCCCCCAGCTGAGTGTCAGGAACCCAGACTTCCCCACTCCTTAGTCTCCCCAGGGACGGGGTCTCCTGGTGAAGATGCCCAAGATTCTCGACCTACAGGCGAGCACAGAACCTTTTCCTTCAGTTCTGTACCTCGTTGGAGAAGAACAGAATTTTGCCCCAGTGAGTCTCCTTCCAAGAGCTACAGGCCTGTCTGTGCAGACAGTCTGTGTAGACAGGGCTGATCTGCGCTCCAGGCTGGCACACATCCTGCTCTGTGGACAGGATGCCACTCCCACGGGCTGCACCGCCTGGACATCTCCCAGGAAGGGCTGAGCATGTCCCAGGGAACCTGCTGGGGGCTCATTCTCAGGACTGATGGGCCAGGTGCCAGAACACTTGGACGTTCTCTCTGTGGACAGGTCAGTACTAGGCATGGGAAGGGAAATAAGCCACCATATGGCTTGGATATGGAATGTCCCCCAAAGGGGACATTGAAGTCTTGGTCCCCAGTGCAGCACTGTCCAGAGGTTGGGCTTTTGGGATTGGATCATGAGGGTTCTGACCCTATCTGTGGATTAATCCACGGACAGCTGTGTGGACTACGGGGAGGAGGTGGACTACTGTGGGCAGGTGGGGTGTGGCTGTTGGAAGTGGTCACTGGGGCGAGTCCTTAGGGACTGTCTTTTCCATGACCTCTTCCCTCTCCTCCCTGCTTCCTGGTTGCCGTGAGCTGAGCCGCTGTCCTCCGCCAGCCTTTCCACCATGATGCTCTGCCTCTCCTCAGGCCCACAGCAAGGGAGCCGCTGACCAGCGACAGAGACCTCAGGAACCAGGAGCCAAAATACCTTTCCCTTCTGTAAGTTGTTTATGTGAGACAATTTGGTCACAGTGATGAAGAGGTGACAAACACGGCCCCCAGAACCTGGAGTCTGCGTCTTTAACGCTCTCATTGGCGAGGTCTGGGGTCCCTTACCTCCACCCTGGACCCTTCCCCAGACGCTCTCTGGCTGTGCTTGGCTCAGGTGAAGCAGCAGTGGCCAGGGAACCAATGACCCTCCGTCAATGCTGCCTGGAAGGGAGAGTCTGGGAGCAAGGTGCTACGGGGGGCAGAGAAGCTGGCCTGGAGGGGATGCGTCAGGCAGAGAAGCCTGGCCGGCCGTTGGACCCCAGGAATTGCCAGGAGAATCCGCACAGAGGAGCTGCTGTCGGTGCACAAAGGAGAGCACCTTAAGCCAGCCCCACTCCAGCACTGGACCCTTGGGAGGCATCGACACAGCCCAGAGCTTCCTAGAACTGCTCTGAGGAGCTTGAAATGGCTGCGGAGGAAGCGCAGGGCGCAGCTGCGGCGGGGAACTGGGCCTCGCTGACTCGGTTGTCATCACTAGTGGTTCTCCTGTGGTGCACGGGCAGGAGGTGCCACGCAGGGGTGGGAAGGCATGTGGGCACCATGCACCAGCTGCAGAGGGACAGGCTTCTGATGACAGGCTGTGACAGGGCTGTCAGCTCCGAAGAATCCAGCACCCTTCCTGGGGCAGGCGTGACATTGTCCATCTCCCAATATGCTCATCCGCTGGTCCCCTGACATCTGTCCCTGCCACTGTAGGGCGGCCCAGACTCTGCAGCCACCCAGGAGTGGAGAGCCTACCTGGGGGAGCAAGGGAACCTGGCTCTCCCCACCCGAGGCTGCCAGGCGGGGTGGCTCCAGCCTCCTTGAAACAGTGTGGCTCATGGGTCCCTGCTGGATCCATCGTCTCCAGCGCAGACTGTCCCTTCTTATCTACATGAAGATCTAGGATTGAGCTTCCTAAATCTGGAGTTTGGTGGTGGTGGAAGGAGTGGAGCTGGAGAACAGGTTCTCGTTTGCG